TATTTGTTAAAGGAAATTAAAAAAAAATTTTAGTGGTGTCATATATTAGTCATATGCCTAGTCAAATTCATACCATCTCAAGTCTTCCCGGGCAACACAGCATAATCAAAAAACACTTTGGAAGATATAATCATGTATTATTAAAATGATTTTGAAATGCCACTTCTTAGCTTAACAGTGACAGAGAGAACACACTTTCTCCCCATTTTCAGAAATTTTGATTAAACTACACATATTAAAGGAACATTAAACCAATATACCATTTGCAAGAATTTATACTAAAATATCAAGTGCCATCACTAAGGGACAGAGTGGCCCTTCTTTTTCTCTGTTGTTCTTGACTTCATATAAAACTAGAATTGAACTCATTAAATTGCGCCATCTATGTCTCTATGTGTCATCAAAAAGTTATAAATTCTTGTAGCTGATTGCATTGGAGTCTTATGGTATTAAGATTCCAATAAATATATTCTTTAACAAACAGTTGAACCACTAAGTAAATCTTAAACATAGAAGGCAAAATTTTGTAAGATTTAACAAAATATAACATGGCTCTCAAAGTGTATACTCCCCCACCCACTAGACAACTGCATCACCACAGTAAAGTTTTACACAATTGGTGGAATAAAAGTTTATAGTCTTCTAATTCTGGTTTTATTATATTTGTCATTATGATTTAAGAACTGTAGAACTGTGAATGTACCATTCTGTTGAAATGAAAGCTATGCATTTAAAATTGGACACATTTGTAATACAATGACAGTGAGAGTTAAAACATAGCCATTGGTTATGGATTGACAACTGAAACAATGATTCTCAGAGCCATTTTGCCTCTCCTAAAAGATGCAAGACAATGTGGGGGTGACTGTCCTGTCAGGGTGGGCCACTGCACCAGAATTCTATGAAACATCCAGACCACCTCACAATAGTACTAGCTGGTCCAAAATGTCAACAGCCCTATCTCAGACCATGGCCACCTCAATACTTTGGTACACTAAGTTCAAACACTTTGGCATCAGTCCAACTACTCCTATTTTCCCCACAATCTGCATCAAGTTATCAAATCCTTTTGGCTTGTGGTTAAAGTAGAAAGGGATCTCTCCTCACTACTGCTACTGCCCTTGGGCATCTCTACCTCTCTTACACACACACACACACACACACACACACACACACAAATGTTAGTTGTGCTACACCTGAAAAAGCCTGTAAATAGATCACACAACTATGCACCCACCTTTCCTCTTGGCAGACACCGAAATAATCACTTTGGTTCAGTCAAAATGAAAATCAAAAACAAAGAAATTCCTGAATATTTAAAACAGATCAGTTTTATGCCTCCCTTTGATACAGTGACACATATGGTGATTTTTGCAAAGACTAAAAGTGCCCTCACAGGTGTCCTGGCTGAGTTCCACTGAATGTGTTGCTCCCCATGCAGACATGCAAACACCACCTCAGGAAGTCTTCCAACAGAACTTCAGAAAAGCCCAGCATGACTGAAAACTCAACAAGATTCCAGGAATGTACTATTACCTGAGTTACAAGTCTGATGACTTTCAGATGCAACTATGGGAAATGTAGCAAAGAACTCGGGTCCATAGATGTGGGTAGCAGACCCTTCATGAATAACAGAGTTTTGTTCAATGTCAATTGGGACTAATGATGAGAAAAAAAACTGACTTGACACTGAAGGAAGCTACTTGGACCTGCTTTCGTTTGTTCTATGTTGTTTCACTTAAAGTCAGGTTCCAAGAACCAAGTGACACATTAAGAGAGGACTTATTATATGTTGACGGTAAGACTTTCTAGGGACTTTATAAAGCATATTAAGTCTATAATAAGATACACTAAGTACTTTTTGTTAAAAAAAAAAAAAAGAGAGAGAGACTCTACCTTATTGACTAATCCTCGTTCAGTGCTAGTCTGAGTTATTTTTATTCCTTTTACTCCCCTCACCACTCCAAGACAGTAAGGTGTATGGTGAGGAGTCATTAGCTTCTCAGAAATAAGAACAAATAAAAATCTAACAGTTCCTTCTCTTCTTTTCCTCTATTAGAATTTCTCCAGTGTTTGCCTGTAAAGAACACCTGTGCTGAGGATGGTACCCATGCTGCTAATCCAGATAACTTTTATTCAACTAAACAAAGGAGTAACCAGTTAGATGCAACTCAAGATATATGAGAGCTATTTTTTAAAATTTCATCTAAAGACCTTCACAACACTTTAGAAAAAAAACTTATTGCAAAATCTATATATTTGCTTATCAGTGATCATCTGTTCCACTAGAATTTAAGGTCCATGTGAACAGGGATTTTGTCCTGTGTTTAATGGCAGAATGAGTGATTGATTGACTGACTGACTGACTGATTGACTGAATGAATGAATGTCTTCTCCCACAATACAGAGCCATTATACGGCTGTAAACTCCTATGCTCACAGTAAGGAAAGGAGACAATAGGAATAACTCCATATTATGAATGACTCATGCCCATTCATTCATTTATTTGTTCTTTACTAATTTTTCATGATTTGTCTCTGCCACCTCGCTAGCTATCCTTCAAATCATGTCCCTGTTGCTCTTCAGCAACCTAGCTTGGCTAGGTTCTCGGAAAGCTCCACGTTCCTTTCTATCTCAGGGGCTCTTTCCAGAATACTCTCCTCCCCACCCCCAAACCTTCTGAAACTTCCTCAGGGAAGCCCTCCCTGATCAACATGGGAGCACTAAGAGAAAATATATGGATTTCTTGGGAATCCAGATGAAATAATTTAGTAAGGGTGTCAAAAACACCCAAGACAGCAGGAAGAAATCATTGTAAACCTAGAGTTTGTTCATATATTTTACTCTGAAATAGTTTCTTTACATGTATCTTCCCTACAACTGTAACCGGGATCTCTGTCACAGAAATTTTTTACTAGAGAGTCTGAAATTCTTGAACAAAATTCCAGGAAGTCCAGGAAGTAGAAGCCTATAAGCTAACTTAAGCCATTCCTTTGGAAATCACTAGCTGGAAGTTTAGCCTCTGCAAAAGAGGTGGCGCCTCCACTCTGCCTTTTTCATTCCTTTCTTGAACTGACAGTAGTAGAGCAAGGAGTGGTTTCTTCACTGTCTCAAGAGCTGCCTCAGCCAAGTCTTCCCCTTGTGAGGCTGGTAGATGCCTTGCATCTATAGCATGAATTCCTGCAGTCCCACCTTGTTCCACATAAACTAGAGGAGGAGTAGAATTTATTTTGTGCTCCATCTAGAAAGTACTCTTCAGTGAGGAATCATGATCACAGACACATAGGAGAGCCTGCATGTGTGAGGAAACACAGAAACAAGCAGAAGCCAATGGCAGACATGACTGATCCATGTCGGGGGGAGAAGTTCTCCCATCCACATTTTACATCTTTAGAAAAGAATACACAGCTTCCTATTATTCTTTAATTTGATGGGGCATCTAATGCAATGAATATTGCCCTGCTTACGATTACACTCTCCATAAGCAGTTCAATCAGAGCATCACAGGAACCTCTCGGATTGCCTAGTCACTACCAGTTTAAATATACAACTCGATCTTCGACTCTGTCGTTGGAGCTTAGTTCTCAATGTCATGGTAAAGGATGTCTGATTGCAAACATTTTATTACTGTTCTAGAGGTCTCGTGAAAAGAACTGCCTACCAGGTTTTGGTTTTTGTTTTTGTTTTTCTCTTTTAAAATACAGTTTTTGTATCATCTGTAAGAACAACACAAATGGGCATGTTGCAAAATCAAACCCTGGCGCTTTCATGTACATGGGCACAGATCCTTTCACATTTTCAGCAGTCTCTGGACATTGCTCTAGCAAAACTCTGATTCTGGAAGCTGCAAGCCACCAATCTCTTAAAAACATTTTTAGCAGTCAAAACACACCAAAAAAAGTAAAGATTTTTAATATGACGGGGGTGGCCCAGTCCAAATTTGTCCCAAATTTGGAACAAAGAGTTTTGCTTTCACTTTCTTGTTACCATCCAGATGAGCCATGTTGCTCATATAATTCCTAATTAAACTCTAGAGAGCTAGTGGAGATAAAGGAAGTGGATGAAAATTACATAAGTACATTAAGGTTTCATTTACATCAACTATTTCCCTTCCATATAACTTATGTGAAATACAAAATAAGGTTTGTTCTTATCAACATTTATTTTACTCCTGCCATTTGCTCCTCATTCACAACTACTTGGCCAAATAAATCTTAGACCAATATCCATGCTTTATTTACAAAGAGTCTCAAATAGTATTACCAGGGCCTATTTAACCTTGCTCACAAAACTTAGCTGGTTCTTGTCTGGGACCATTAACATATTTTGAAAAATTTCCAAGAAATTCATATGCCAGTAGATTTCCCTCCCTAAAAGGCCAGTTTCCTAAGTATTCAATGAGAGAGCTTTTGAGACCCATATCAACAAAATGAGAAAGTAATACTGTTCCTATCTAAACAGGAAATTCACTATTGTGGCTATTGTTGCCCTAATTATACTATAGTAGAATTTCAGAACAATCTTTTCTGAACCTGGAAACATCCCATCCCCTCTTCAATTTTCCATTCCAAATAAGCAGATTTGGAAAGTAAGGAGAGGCACATATGTATTGCCTCCCCCCACCCTCCAGAAAACAGGTCAGGTTTTACTTCATTATCACTTGTTTTTTTGTTTTCTTTTTTTTTTTTAAGTAAATTTCTATCAATTAAATAGGTTTCTACTTAATCAGGGTCACCACAGAAGAGAACGGCATTTTTCAACTTTTGAATGGATGTACAGTTTTCTCTTCAGTAACATACAAATTCATTGAGAGTTTAAAATGCAGATATAAAGCTCATGATAAAGCCTTTGCGGTAGATGTAAGCAGCATTTCTATCAACCTGACCCCCGACACAACAAACACACACCACCTAAGTGGGACACCATGTCTCTCTACTCGGGGCCATAGTCTACAGCATTTGAAACCCAGGCATCCCAAAAAGTTAAGAAAGTAACTCACAATGTACAGTCAATGCAGCTTCTTAGACCTCAAAGCCTTGCACGTATCACGGCAGATTTTATCACCAGCAGCTCAAGGGCCCTGTAAATGAGATCGCTCATAATCAATGAATCTTTTACTCCAACATTTGACAACTCAGTAAGAAGTTTATGTAAGGCTGTTACTTTTTATTTTATTTTTTTTTTCTGTAGTTGCCTTTGCAAACAGGAAACAGGAAACAGACCTACAAGAATACTGACATACCTCAATCTAATGGGTCTTTTGTTCAAAGTGCTCTGGGGAGTGAGCTAGTTCCACAGGCTAGAAGTCCCCAAAAGAACAGAGACTCAGGTCGTAGCATTTCACAGTCTAAAATCCTTTCAGTAGATAATATGTAGGCAACTTATTAGAGGAGTCACAGGCATTCTTAGTAACGTTATAGCCTTAATCATAGAAAAGCTATAAGCTTCAGAACACACTCAGGTGTATATATGTTTATATATAGGGGTGTATGTGTAGATATGTATCTATACATATTAATATATTAGGTTTATATTATTTAAAATAATAGTCAAGGAATATTTTTCCTGGAATATATGGAAACTATAATTTAGGAAACTTTTGATGACAAATAACAGAAAATCCAATTTAAACTCACAGATATAAATAAAGAACAAAACAAGGAAATATTTTGCTTCATTGAGCCGGGAGCAAAAAGGCCCAGATCTGATGTTGCTCTTGGAAAGCCAGGGATTCACCCCATCATTCGATTTTCTGCAGTTCTCTTGACATGAATCTTCTCTGCAGACACACAGCTCCTTCTGCTGCCTTCCATCATTATGCCAAAAGTAAGCTGCAGAAGGTGAAGACCACAACCCCACCTCAGAGTTCAGTGTTAGGCACTAAATTCTGAGGCTGCTCAGATTGCCTGCTGCTGAATTGGTCTTATACTCTGCTGAATGCCTTTAAAGCAAGCAAGGCTGTTCCCTGGCAGCAAAGGGAGGTTCATTCCAAAGAAAAATCACATAGAAAGACATTCAGGATAATGTTCAGGATCATGTAAGGAAGGGAAAAGGGGACAGAGTGGGGAAGGGGAAAGAAAACAACACTACAATTTTTCACAAGAATATGAATTCAAAGATGGGTATTTGAGGATGTGATTCCATGAAAACCCTATATGTGAAAGACAAGCTAAGATCAAGAGCTATTATGTACTCAAGTCTTCACAATTAGCCTAACTTGCTATTTACATCACACTTGCTCTCTGAGACTACAGTCCAGAATCTTTCCTCTTTGTTCATGAAATACACCTTACAGCACACAAAGTGCTCTCGTATTTGGTCAGGCACACAGCCCTGCTCATGGTGGCAGGCATTCCCCCTGGCAGCTTGGAGCGAGGGGTAGACCTGTCTCTCCAATGCCAGGCTCTCCTTTCCCCTTACAGCACTTTGATTTCCTAGGGAGCAGCAATTATCCCATTAAAACTATAGGTAAGGACCAGAAAGTGGAGCAGTTTTGGCTTGGCGGTGTGAGCTGAAGTTACTAGGTGGGGCTCCCAGAGAAGCACTTTAAAAGGGCTCTGGCATTTGCTTTTTGCTCTCTGCCTCTCCTCTCCTTCCAGCCAGAAGTAGACATCTGGTGATCACTAAGTGGCAAGCTGAAGACAAGCCACATGCTGTGAAGACTACGTTAGGAGAAGGAGCGGCAGCCCTGTCTGGCTTCCTGCACCTGGCTCTCACAAGAGAAAAATAAACCGCTTGGTTAAACTGCTGAACAAGGCTCTTGGTACCTTCAGCTGACCACACCCCAGACCCAGAGAGGCTCCACGACCAGGTTATGACAGGTCAAGGTTTAGTCCCAAGTCTCTTGATGTCCAGTCCAGGGACATTTCCCATGAACAAACATTTATGCTTCCCTTCTCAACAAATAACCCACTTAAATGCACCCATAGTTCAAATGATGATGGGGAGGGGGGGCTCATTGGTTTTGTTTTGGTTTCTTCAGCTTTTTAAGATCTAAAACTCAAACACATGAAAAATTGCTCAGACAAAAATGCTAAGAAAATGTAGGACATTTGACCAAAATCTCTTTCAAGGATACCTAAAGAAGAAATAGCCATTTTTCCAAATCTTATTGTGGATGAGTTTTTTTTTTTTCTCTCCAATTTCTCATTCACCCAGTCATTAAAAGACAACAAAGGGTTTCTTCATCCATTTCCACATCTGAGGAGCTGGGAAGTCACCATTCTTTCCTAGTATCAAGTAGAAGTCAACAACTGCCCCAGATGGTTAAGAGAGAGGAGAACACAGAGCTCACAGTTGCTCTCAAGATCGAGAAACCAACAGGACACTACAGGGGTGATGGCTTTTAGACTCACCAAGGAGCCACTATGGCAGCCAGAGTAGGAAAACCTGAACTGTAACTGAGGAATTACTGGGGTCGCCCTGGGGCCAACTCTCCAGGCAGACCCAATCATCGGGGGCCTCCCAATATTATGAGATGTATTTTCAGGTGCTCTAGCTGATTCCCAAGGCACACAGAAGAAAATCTTAGGATTCCTGAAGAGGCAGGGGTAAGGAGCCATGGTGAATACCACAGAGCATTCAGTTCCTGACAGGGCCTGCCACAGATGAAGCTGTTAGCCAGCGCCGAAGCTGCTGGGGTAATATCAGAGTGTAACTGAGCTGAAGAACAGGAGTACGCCAACTGCAGCCAGCTCTCGCTGTCCTGTTTCACCTAAATAAGCTCATAAGCTCATAAAGGACTGAGGCCTAATCACAGGACTAGAGAAAGCTTCCTCTCCCATAAGTCTCACCACCACATTACTGAAGCGCTACTTACAGCAGATCTTTCAATCTGCACATCATGTCTGGCTATCAAAAAAAAATTACAAAGCATATCAAAAGGTAAAAAACACAACTTGAAGAGACAGCATCAGAACCAGACATGGCAGAGAGTTGGAATGAGAAGACAACAGAGCTCTCCAGAAGATTGCAATCATACACTCATCCAAAAGTCAAGGAGCAGTCATCCCCAAAATCAATTCCAGAAGGATTAAGGACTTAGTATTGAAAAACAAAACATTAGAACTTGTGGAAGAAAATAAAGAACATCTTTCTGACCTCCAAATGGGAAAGGGGTTGAAACAACAGTGGTTTGCATTGTTGTTGGTACTTGGGAGGGTGGGAGCTTCCCCTTCGGATGTAGTTACTTGGAGCTTCCAGCACCAAGGTACCCTCAGCTGCCACCACATTACATTTGCTCCTGCAACTGGATTCTCACCTGTTCTCTGCCCCCTGCCTCCTCTGGTTGCTCAGTTCTATAGTCAGCTTTCAAGGGTTAGTTTTGAGGTTTGTCTATCTGTTCCTTTGATTGTTTTCTCTATATTTCACACAGAAGTGACACCATCCCATATTATCTTTCTCCTTCTGACTTATTTCACTTAGTGGCAAGGAAAATAATTTTTTTTTTTTACTTTTTTTTTTTTTTATTAAAAAGTTTATTTTTACATCATTTTTCACATTTTTTTTTCATCTCAATTGTAATCCCCATGGGTTTCCCATCACCAAATCACCCCTGTGCCACCACCATAGTCCCGTGCATTTCCCTCCCTTCCCTGCGCCCCCGCTTTTGATCCCCTTCCCCACTCCACCCCCCCAGAATGTCTCTGGTCTATGGTTGTTCATTATTTTTGTTATTTTCTCGCCTGGTCCATTATACTCCTGCTATGAGTGAAACCATCCGGTATTTAGGAAAATAATTTTTAAGAAAGGTATAAAAGTGCTACCCACAAAAGGAAAGACAGCTAAATCGCTCACCATCATGTTAGGTACCTGTTCTCAAAATGTACAAAAAAGAAAGCAGAAACATGCACCTAGCTGCTATAAGTTTGCAACAAAGAAAGCCAACAGAAGATCAGTGTTCAGAGTATACAAATCAAGATGAAGAAGTAAGAACAGATAACACAGTAGAAAAATATGATCTGACACATTGTGAAAGGGGAGGAAATAAGAATGGTGAAGGAACACACGCACAGTGAGCAACCTTTCTTGTAGTCCGGAAAACGCACATTAAACTGATTGTGGAGTACGGTTGATATAACCACTTGGGAACAATTTAAGCTCAAAAAGAGGTTACACACCCTGTAACAGAGCAATTCCATTTCTGCAATATTCTCTAGACAAATTCATATTTTCCCTGGAAGATATACACACTAGGTTTATAACAACATTATTCAAAACAACAAAAGCTAGATTTCACAGACATGTCCACCAATCAGAGAGAAAATAAACAAATTGAGCTGGAATGTGGAGTATTGTACAGTTGGGAAAATCAATACATCACAACTACATGCAGCAACTTGGGGAAGCCTTGGAAACAATGAAAAACAACAATAACAATAATATATAACTATATACAGACAATGGCTTTTTACAGATAAGGCCTAAGAATAGCAAATCCAAACAATATTTTGGTTTAGCTAAACCCACAGACAATACATTTTTACAGTTCTATATTATTTTATCACATATGAAAATTCATGTAATTAACATTGCAATCAAGATTAGACGCAGAAGTCCATCCTCCTATCATTCGTGGTGATGCCCAGTCCCTCTGTGCTTGTCCTTTATCCTGGAAGCCAGTCAGCTGTGTGTATCGATAGTTTGTTCCTTTTTATTGCTGAAAAATAGCCCATGGTGTGACTGTATCACAATTTGATTAACCACTCACCCACTGGGGGACATTTTGTTTATTTCCAATTTTTGACTATTACAGATAAAGCTGCTGGGGGAAATTGTGTACAGGTTTTTACATGGATGCAAGTTTTTATTTCTGTAGCACCTATGCCCAGGAGAGTGACTGTTGGGTTATATATTAAATTTGTTTAGTTTGTAAGAAACTGCTAGGTTTTCAAGAGAGACTACAATTTTAACCATAAGAGATTCTGTTTTTTTCATTTCCTTGCCAGCATTTGGTAATAGTACTATTTACTATAGTTGTTTTAATAAGTGTGTAGTGAGTAGTATTTTATGATCATCATTTGTGTTCCCGAATAGCTAGTAATGGTGACATCTTTTCATGTGCTGATTTGCTATATATTT